AACCAACTATATTTATTTAGTAAAAGGCCCCTTTGCATTTATAATTTCATCAGGGGCCGGCTGTTGGAAATGATTATCTTTTCCCATATTTCTTCTCCCCCCATCCAACCTTCCTTGCTTCAAAATGAGCATTAGTTTTAAAAGTTTTAAACTTTTCTCAATTTACTGAGTTCAGGTTAGAGAGACATGGAGTGAATATCTTTTAAAAATACTTTAATATTTAATAAAATATCTTTGTAGTACTCATCCTTCACAAATAATTAAGACTGGCAATGGCCCAGTATTAGTTTTTACATGTAGCTTATACAAACTATAGTTACAAGCAAACCTATCAAAGAAAAAATAATGAACTTAATTTCCCTGATTTTCAGCCCTAGAAAGAAATCAAGGAGAAGCCATGCCTGGCAATGCTGCCCGGCAGAAAACAGAATTTGCTAATCTAATTAATTCTCAACATGTTTGGCTATATTGTTTTTTTCTTGCTGCTGCTGTTGAGCTAGTTCTTGTCTCCCAATTTTTAATAACTACCCTGCAGCTATGCTCTCTTTCTTCCCCTTAGGCTCACTGATGTTCCTCCAGCCAATGCTGCAATCGTCCAACTCACTGTGTTTTCACAGTAAGAGAAGGATGGAAAAAAAGAAAAGAAAAAGTCTGATTTTGAGGTGGAAAGCAAAATGGCTGCTCTGTTTGGCAGGAAAGGCCAAAAAGGTTGGATGGCTTGGACCATGCCAACATTTAGAGAAATCCCAGAAGGGAGGAAAGATCAAATGGGAGTTCCTTGCCCTGTAGCTACCCCAAAAAGGTGCAAAGCTTTTCTTTTAGAGTTTTAATTGAGCAATTAGAACTTGCCAAATTAATTGGCTCGGGTCTTGTAAGATGTCCCAAAAGTACAGAGTGTCATATGCTCATAAAGACTTTTCTCACTAGCATATCATTTCGTATGAGGGTTAGAGTTGAGTATTTATCTTTTATATTATGTAGCTTGTATTGTATATAGGTTTTGTAATATTTTTAATATTGTAAACTGCAGAATTACCTTGTGGTAAGATGGGCAGTCAATACATTTGATAAACAAACAAACAAACCTCCAGGAACTATATTCTCCCCCTCCTTCTCTCTCTCTCTCTCTCTCCCTCCCTCTCTCTTTCTATACAGACATACATACTATATGGAGAGTATCACTAATAGATTCAATGTTATGAAGGCTGTTACTCTGTCACTATGCTGCTATAATGCACACATTCTCTTTCTCATGACAAGATATTTCTATATAAATCAATTATAGACATATCTTACCTTTGAAATAGGTGCCATTACCCTATATTTTATTCAATATACATTCATCTATGGCCCACCTGCACATATTGCAATCAAGAGCTAATTGCGTCATTTTACATATTCATGTATCAGCAGAGAACTGAAATACTACTATTGATTTTTTTAGTTGCAATAGTGATGAACATCTGAAACTAGAATAGATAAAACTTGACAATTTAAGATGGGGTTTTTTTTTGGTCATAGACACTTTTATTAACCTGACCATTAAATAAGACAAGAAAGCAAAATTCAACTTTTTGTCATTTTAGAAAAAAATGTACACTCCCCCCACCCAAATGGAGAAAATCAAATTATTACTGATCTGAATTGACCATGTTCAATAACTAAGACTTAGTTTCACTTTCTTTCAATTTTTTTTACAAATGCCATGAACCAAATGAAACCATTCTGAAATCAGCGTTTAATGTTCTTATCCAACCCCAAAACAAAACTAGTTTGAATCCTCTGTTGCTTAGGTCAAAATCTCATCTTGTGTCTCTTGCAATGATGGTGACTATTTTCATTTCTGTCATATAGACACTATCCAAAGGTGCCTCTTGACATCAAATTCTCAGCTCAGTGAAAGCTAGGGGCCACTGTTGCACTGCATGCCAAACCTAGCCCAGGAAACTGTGAATTGAAGAGATAGACCAACCATATCTTCTCTGGACTACAATGAGAACATCTTATCTGAATGCCACAAAAGGGACGTGCTATTTTGACAGTGTGCCAAATCACCAGTTCTGATTGTATTCAATCCAGCAACAGCCTCTACGCAGTTCAGTTTTTACTTGTAGGTCTGTTTAATTTAACCTAGAGATGCAGGTCTGGATAAAAAAGAGACTCAGGGAAATCTCCTTACCTCTGTTTTTTTAAAAAAATTCAAATAGCTCCCAGGAAAAAGGTCTGTCTTCAAAAGACCTCAAAAGCTCCTTTGAAAACAAGATGATTACAGGTTGTTTCTTCTCTTATCCTACATCAGCAAGGGTACTAAATACCTTGTTTTGACACTTACAGTAAATGAATCTTTTGTTGGCCACAGTAAGAATGAAATTAAGATATAGAAGTTCAGTATAGGAGATCAAATAAGTTCTACTATTTTAGTTCTCTCTCTGTGTAGAACAATTTAGATTCTAATGAGAAGAACCCAGAAAACAGCAGCAATCAATGTTGCCAAGAGAATCACAAGGAAGCATCTATGAAGTCATTAGTCTTCTCATCACCCAGCATTGCCCTGTTCTTCCCACCATTCATGCCCATCTTCCTACTGTCAAACTCTGTAGTGCTTCCTTCTCTCCCATCAGCCTGTTCACCCTCTCAGCCAAGAGGGGAGCCCGAGTCAAAATAAAGTTGCCTTTCTTTTTTAAGCCCTGGGTAGGCTGGATATCTGGAACAACCCTCAGCAACCATTGTTCAATTCAAAGTAAACTGAAATATAAAGTACACAAATGAGAAATAGGCATGCATGGCTTTTTTTTTTTTTACCAAAACACAGTCCTCATATGGGCTTTATTTACAAACAAAATGGTGGATGGCATCTGTTTGGAAGTATGAACACCTTCTCACAAAAAAACACCCAAAACCATTCTTTAGCAAAGAGTATCCTGAGGTACTTGATGGGATGGTAGGGAGATATTTCACTTGTTTGACTTTGGAGAAATAGGTATTTGATAGCAGTGATTTCGTGAATAGGCAAATCCATTCTATGTGTGTTCTTAGCTTCTGGAGGCCAGTTCCATCTTCCACAAAGGGAGCTTCCTGGGTGACTTTGAGCCATTTATTATTTCTCTGTAACCCTTTCCCCCACAAATGTCATGGGAGGAGGGTGGAATGGAAAGCACAATGTACTTTGCCTCCAGCATTGAAGAAAGGCAGGATATGCATCTAATGAATAAAGAACAGGTGGCAACAAGGGTGGACTTCAAATAATTTAACTAGTTCTCTGCCAGGTTGTTGGGTGGGTGTGGCCTAGTTGGTCTCCTGCACCACCCTGGCAGTGACCTAGTTTTGCCTTCCCTGGGCTTTGGAGGCTCTCTGGAGGCCAGAAATAGGCCCATTTCCGGCCTTCCTGAAGCTCCGAGAGGCCCGTTATTTGCTCTCCTCAGCCTCCGCATGGGGCCCTGCATTTACCTGTGATCCAAAACGGGGACTCCTGGGAGGGGCAGGGTGGGGTGGGCAGAGCCAGCCAGTCATCGGAACTACCGGTTCCCCAAACCAGATGTAATATTAACGTGAAGCCTGGCTGGCTGTGAATGAACATAATTCACAGCTGTGGAAATAAACGAGGTTTGGTCAGGATTAAGATTGTGTTTTATGCTTTCTAAGGAAGCCTAGGTCAGAACAGTGGTAACTAAACAGCAGCAGCCCAGAGAAGAAATGGGCAGCAAGAACTTTGAATCAAAACATTAAGAACCAGGGTGTGAGGGATGGAGAAGTGAAGGCATACATTTTTATTTATGCCCAAAACTTAAGCAAAGTAATTTTGACACTGACTAATTAAACAGCATTGGATTAGACTACTGCAGAGTGCACTTGCATCAAAGTACTCAAATTGAATGGGGCATTCCTATGACTGATTAAATTGCTGTCTTTCCCCTCCAGTTCTGATTAAGAAATGGAGGATTTATGTTTGGGGAAAGTCATAGAATTTGAAAAGCTCACGACCAAGAAGGGATTGTGGGTGGTTAGAATGGAGGAGACACCAATATTCTGAGCCATTCCCCATCTATTTCTCTCAAAAAGATGCATAGGAGGGGGAACACTTTTATAGCACATTTTTTCTGGCCAAAGCCAAGCTATTTTCAGACTTGATTTTTCTTTTGCTGGCTTCTCCCATGTTCTGTTTCATTTTTGGAACGTTGCCCTGTTGATGGACAGAGAGTTGGAAATCCTGAGCTCCTGCACATAAATTACTTCCAATATTTCATGGGGTTGGAAAGGATTTTTTTTTTAAAAAAAAGAAGCCTTAAGGTAAGGATTTTCAAGTAGGGATCATGAGGGAAATTCAGGGGGTGTGAGAAGATATTAAAAAAATGACTGCTGCCCCAAAGAACTCATAAATAATGATTCCAAATGAAAATCTGATGAACTGGGAAGGCTGAGGGGATGGGCATGCTGGCAGGAGGGGAAGGAAGCACCACAAAGTTTGACAGTGTGCTGTAGGAAGACGGGACTGAATGGTGGGAAGAACAGGACAGGGCTGGATGATGGGAAGATTAGTGGTAGATTGTTGGAGATCTGGGGGATGGAGACCAGATGGGTGTCTTTTCACAAACATAAAATGGGAGACAGATTTAATGGACATTTGGCTGGAGAGGAGTGAGACTTCCTAAAAAAAATCAGAAAAGGAGCTCTATGCCAAAAACCTTTGAAATCGTTAACAACAGGAGCCTACCAACAAGCCCATCAATGGTTGAGCATATGTGTGTATATGATTTATGAGCTAGATGTGTAACTGTGAAATAGAACCACCTTGAAAAGAGAATGCAGTGGTTAGGATATAGCAAATTTAAGAAAGCCCAAAAAGAAGGGTTTTTTTTCTTCTCATCACTGAGTATTTATTATATATAACAAATACATGAAAAAGAAAAAACTATATTGTGTGATATAAATAGTTTATATACATTACAGAAAAAACATCAAGACAATGTATACTATTTCAAATATATCCATACATAATCAAATATAGCTGTAGTACATGTTTCGTTCTGTTTTCATTGGTGTCGATTACCACAAATGCAAGGCAACATGTGTAGAACTTTTGTCTATAATACTGTATTTTGTAAGTCCAAGCTCTCTGCAGTTTACTTTTGCCATTGTGGAAACATGCTCTCTCTTTTAAATTAACCTGGTCGATGCTCTCGTTGTGTTGTCTGAACTGTAGTGCCCTGTGTTTTGCTTTTGCCGGTGAATTCTGTTGCTCCTGGGACATTTCCTGAAAGCAGCCAGGGTAGAGAAGGGAGGAGAAAGAAGAGTGGAAAAAAGGCATGAAATTTGCTTTGCTAAATGACAGCTGAGAATTGCAGCTATTTAAGGGCAACTGGAGATTCTACCTGTCACTCTAGCTCATCTTCTCTTGACTGCACAGCAAAAGAACTAGTAAAGAAAGACAACCTCCTGCATACCCAGGGGACCCAGCTTTAATTTTGGAGCTTGGAAATGCCAAACCAGTCCTCCTAGGATCTGGCTTGCATGTAGAAAGGTCTGGTTTCTCAGCCCCAGTTTATACCTCTTTTTTTTTAAGCAACAGGGGCTTTATAACCATTGAAAAAGGGATGTATAGAAAACCATGGAGAACATACTGCCTTTGTTTTTAGTCAGCTGGGGGAATATGAAAAAGGAATAAAGATCATCCTCACATTAGCTTTAATTTGTCAATGCCAATAATAAACCAGCAGGTTGTTCTCCCACCCCCAATTGATAAAAACTGTAACAATGTCCAAGCAGTGCAATGTAAACTGTACACATTTTTAATCATCAGATGCTCTGTTAGAGGAGTAAAAAACAACTTTAGAGGTTAAGAATTATGGATGTCAAAAGAAGGTCTTATATTGCATGTTTACAGTGCAATATCATATGGCATTCATTATTTTCGGCTTCTGAATAGATCTGGATATTATCAATGCATCACAGACCATAGTCTTTTGAAATGCCATCAGGATCAACCATCAAATCCCACCATCAAGGAAACATAATGACAGTCTTCTTCTGTGAAGGACTGAAATGGCATAAGTCATGGCACCGTTTTCTATTATCATGGATTGGGAGAATAGCTGCATTTAAAATTACTGTTCTCCCTAAAATCTATTTTTGTTTCAAACACTGCCAGTTTCTTCCTTTGCTACTTCATTTCATATATTCCAAAGAATTTTCCCTTCATACGTGCTCTGAATTGTTGGAATGGGATGTGGTGTCAATAAAGTAAGTTGCCATTAAATAAATAAATAAAAATGTGCTAATTATTTTTTTAAAAAACTAGGATTGGTCCAATCACTAAATATAAGTAAAAGCATGATGGAGACTGAAGCATACTGAATTCAGTATGAATTCAGTATTTTAAAATGTTATTCAATTATTAATTCAATTAATATAGTTATGAATTTTCAATTAACTCACATAATAAGGAATTCAAGTAATAGTGGGTATAAATCAAGATAACACTGGATTCTTAGGTACGGTAATACAATTGTTCTTAATATTAAGAAATTAGCATTTATTATCTCAAATCTATAACTTACTTCAGAAATCTGAAAAAAGACAAAAACAAATGCTGGTCCCTGATCTTTCTCTCCTTCTCCTATTCCTTGCCCACCTTCAGTCCAATTCCTGTCTAAAACATATATTTATAACCTTTAGCAACATTTTAAATATGAATTAGGTGAGACCATGCAGCAATTGGGACTTAAAGGGGAAAACCCAAATGTTTAACTTCTTAAAAAAAAGTTGAGTTGCCTTTTGAAAAAGCACCTTTGGGACAACCACGATCTCGATGATCGAGAACCTCCATAGACATTAAAGGGAAAATACATTATTCAGTGGGCAAAAGTGCTCAAGAGAATACCTGTGGGCATGTTCTTCAAGAAATGGTGCCCTTTCTAAGCTTCAGATGGCTGTGTGATGCAATCCCAAACAAAGATGAATACGGTTCAAGAAAGTCCCAACAAGATGATTGATGCTCACATAGATGTATTGTGGACTATTTCTCTTCAAATCTAGATTGTGGCTTAGTTCCTGGTGCATAGCTACTTCCTTTAAACTCAGTGAATCTCTCTTATGAAAACATGTGATTATATTAAGCCTACAGGTTCTCAAATAGACAGTCTTCTTAGAGAATGATTTGGAGTTTGGACTTAATGAATGTCATTAAAAATTTGAATACTATCTAAGTCCTTTAAAATTGATTTTAGGAAGCCATCAGGAATAAATCCTGAAAAGAATACGTATGCAGCACCCTGTTAAAATTACACTACATAAATTGTAACCTTTGTAGGTTATATTAAGGGTTAGCATATATTATCACTTTTGGTGGTAATGTATACTTTGTAGTTGAGAGATCTGAAGTTGCCGAGAAAAATCAGCTATTCACAATGAACCCTGTTATGCCTTGGTTTATTGTCTCTATTTCTTAAGGTATATAAATTGATGCATCATAAGAAATAGATTCAATTCCTAATGTTAGTAGCTACATGCATTATCATAAAACACTGAAAAACTAAAATACATCTTTAAGCAGATCAATGATCAATGGGTTGATATTCTAGCACGAGAGCAAAAAAGCTTTCAAAAGCAATTGTTTCAAGTTTGCCCTTTTTTTGTAGCAATATTTTTAACAATGTTTTTCCTACCAGATTGTTTTTTCCCAACAATTGCTACTTTGATAGAAATATTGAATATGGATATTTTTCTTTAATGTCACACACGTTTTGCGAGATATAACAGAAGGTTTGTGCTATCTGGATAGAACTGTCTCCTTTGTATACGAGCAGTCATTAAATTGTGATGATGTGCCTTTGTGATGTTTGGAGAAATGGATTTGGAGGGATGTTTTGCTTGTGCAATGCGGCTATATGGTGACCTTTACAAAGTTGAATTATTTGAACAGCCCTTTATATTCATGGGCTTCTGTTTCTCTTTCTCGCTTTTCTTGCTTCAATGTTCATTGTTTTTTCCAGTTTGAATGCTGTATTTTTAGTTTTTGTTTTGATTTTTGTCAACAGAAAAATGAATTTTAAGTTCTTTAATTATCTGAACCTCTACAATAACTCAGTTTATGAATATTTATACTATAGTTTAAATAGGTTTAGGGAAGTTGCTGATGCTTATAGTTGAATCTATGCAGCTCATCAGTTACATCTTGACCAATGGGACTTACGTTCTAAATAAACAAGAGCTAGATTTGTAACCATTGGCATGTTTATCCGGAAGTACCGCTGAACTTGATTTAGCCTATTTTGGAATAAGGAAAAAGTTGTCTTGTTATAGCAGAAACCTTTGGTCTTGTTTTTTTTTTTTTTTCTGCTTTGGCTGTCATAGAAGCCACCCATGGACAATTATTAGATCTATACGGGTTTCAGAGGGAGCTTGGGCTTTGTCCTGTAAGTCTGGTAGACAGTTTAATGGAGGCTTTAGGTGTCTGCTGGGAAGGTTGGAACATTCCTGTATGAGTATTCCCTGTTCTTTGATACTATTGGATATGGTTTGCTGAGGAGCTTCAGGAGATGAAATAACTAAAGAGATGCATAAAGCATGATTGCTCAAAGACAAGGATCACGTCTGAGAATGTACATGTTGTGGTTTGCCCGCAGCCTGTGCAGATGGCAGCAGAATCGGACAGCGGGGAAGAACAGGGACCAGTCCAGGAGTCTGGAGAGGACTTGAATGAGGGTCCTGCATCCGATAGAGAGATGGGACCAGGACCATCTGGGAGTTACGTGCTGACTCTGGAGCCTCCAGAATCTGGCAGCAGTGAGGCAGAGGAACAAGGGAAGCCTGTTCCCAGTGTGCATATGCGCAGAGCTGCCAGAAGGCAAGAGCAACTAAGACAAAAGGGGCGACTTGGGAGTAAAGCTTGGAGGTGATTGCCCCTCCCATATAGTATAAAGGAAGTGCAAAGGTAGAGAAACCTTTGCAGGAAGCAAAGTTGTTCGCTCTGTTTGAATTAAACCTTGAAGCTCTGTGTGGACTTTATACTTCGGTTGGCTTTTTACAGTTAATTTGGCACTTTAGTTGTTGGCAGCAATACAAAGGAGATAAAGGTGGGTGCTTATCTTGAGAAACTGTTTGGGACTAATTACGAGCTGGGAATGAATGAAATTTCCAGCACTGAAATACAACAAGAGTTGTTTGGACTAAGCTTGTGCTTAATTATGGTCTTAGGAATCCTTGGTCAGAACAGTATAAAAGGGATTACATTGTAGTGATAAGAGGGAACACAGTTGTTTTCCACTCATTACATTTTCATCGAGTCACCTGGCATTGGGTCTATCTGTCTCATGCACTGGCTCTTTCCCATCATTTCTGGCTACCACATAAGATCTACCAGAAAAGTGGGTACTTCATGTCCCATCCACTAAGTACTATAATCTGATGATACCTAGGAAGTGTAGGTCCTTTTTCTGTTGACAATCCCTGAAAGCCAGTTTTCCATCCTACCTCTCCAAGCTCTGGACCAGATCAGGGTGGATCATCTGGTGTACAGAGCATGTTTTCTCCCCTATCATGGTTACTGTTATCTTTACTTGTTTGTTTTTAGGCTTTGTATATGTTTTTAATCTTTACATGACCTAGACTCGGTGTTGCATCAGGTGGCTTTATAAATGTAAATTACAGTATTACCGACCACCTAACTCAATAAGATCTGCAAAGGTAGCAGGTGGAAATGAAAATGGACCCACACAATCCCAAGACCTCTTGTTTTCTTAAGAGATCTTGTATACAGTATATCAATCTTGGGGTTGTTGTAGCTAATGACTTGACTTGTGTGCACATTTATATCCAGGCACCAGAAGGGGAGAAAAAGAAATATGAACCAGAAGGGGAGAAAAAGAAATATGAACAAAGAATGTGTCTTCCATCAGATGACAGAATAACTAGATGACAGAATAACTGTTTCATCAGGATGCTGAAATGAGCACTGTGGCACTGCTCCTTATATAAGTGTGTGTTTGTGTGTGTGTGTGTGTGTGTGTGTGTGCACTCGCTGTCATGATGCACTTACAAAAGAGGTAGGGCTTGTATCACAACCCTCGTATCATTTGCCCTCCTACCCAAACCTTTGTCTCCCACCTTCTCTGCTACTAACAAAGCCTTGGGTCAAGCAGCAAACATAGCTCTGTATTTCTTCTCACCTCCTCCCATGTTTTTAAATTTTAATGAATTAATTCCATTCTTCTGGGTCTCCTTCCCCATCTATTATACAGGATCTAGGAAAAAAAAATCCCCAGATATCCTGTTTTATTTAACAGTTGGTTTAGAAGGCATGGAATGGGGTAACCATATAAAAACAAAGTGCTGAGTCAAAAAAGCAGAAAGCCCATGAAAATATATTACTTTGTACACATGGATCCTATTTAAGGGCCATGTAGAGAGTACATTCAAGAAGAAAATCAGACATAAATGGATGCATCAATAGACAATACGTGATTTTTAATTTCACAATCCCCTAGGCAACTGCATTTGTGCTGGAGGTCACCTGGTTTTGTCAGGTTCATTTCACAAAACAGCAAAAATCCTATTTTAGAGATTTATTTAGGGTTTTCATGCATTTCCTAGCTCAAAAGGATAGGAATGCACATTGCAACTTTTCAGAGACATAGTCAGTTGAACTCCAACGGCTATGTTTGGGAGCTACAAGTGGTCCCCAACAATATAAATTAATGCAACATTATAGCTTAATATTTATTTATTTTGCTTTATATCCTGATTCTTCCTCCCATCTCCTCTTTTCCGTAGGAGAAAAGCAAAATATATGCCAGTGCCAAGATGATATAATATACATTATGTAAGATTTTCAGAGAAAAAACATTCTGAAGGAATGTCCTGAATGGCAACTAGCTCTGATAAGAAATGGCAACTTCTACCATGATCGTTCCAAATGGCCAAGTCAGACAAACATTATTTGTGAGCATAATGTTTCTGGAAGTTGTTGTTGAAGAGATCTATCACTTGAAAAAGAAATATAAGATATCCTGCTGGCATCTTAAATAAGCATATACTGTCTTGAATACCAATAGTTCGCATTAGGACTGTAACTTTGTTGCTTGTATCCTTACGATTTATATGGACTGTTTCCTAGTATGATTTGATTGTTGTTTGTACCCTATGACTATCATTAAGTGTTGTACATTATGATTCTTGATTCTTAATGAATGTACCTTTTCTTTAGGTATACTGAGAGTATTTACACCAAGACAAATTCCTTTTGTGTCCAATCACACTTGGCAATAAACTATTCTATTCTATTCTATTCTATTCTATTCTATTCTATTCTATTCT